GGGCACCCAGGTTGGGGGGGGATGCCTGGGTTTGGAGGGTGTACCCTAGTTTGGAGGGGGGCCCCAGGACCTCTCCTCCCTGCCCGGCAGCTGCCAGCACTGAAATTCAGCATCGCCTGGCCCTTCGTCGTTGGCGTTTGGGGTTTCTTCAGATCCCCATCCCGCTCTCTGCGGGATGCTCCCCGGTGGCAGTAACCATTCCCCTCTCACACCACAGGATTGATTTTTTCCCAGAATGAACCCCCAACTAGTAACGTGTCTTTTAATCAAAATTATTAACCAGTGGCTGTTGAAAGAGAAGTTCGTGAGGCAGTCCTTTGGGGAAAGTAAACACATGGCTACTCATGCTTTACTCATGCACGTAACCATAAGGCCCCTGGGGGAAAGAAATACATCTGCGTGGATGGATACACAGAGAAATAGGGAGATACCCAGGTAGCCAGAAACACACAGATATGTACACAGCTATGCATGCATATGGAGACACGTACTTCTACAAGCTACTTTTTTCTCTTCCCCTGCAAAGCCACATGTGAGCTTGTCCACAAATGAATAAGTTAACGAAGCAGTGATTTTTATTTTGCATGCTATGCAATTCCAGCTGTTTTACTGTACCGGGGGATGAGTGCAATTTCCTTTGAAATCACACCCCTGTTGCTCACAGAAAGATACAGGGAGTGGGAGAAGCCAAATTTCTGTACTGATTTTTCCCAGGGATCCAGTAAAATCCACGAAAAGTCAAAGACTCATGTGGTTCAAGTCAGCAATGTGCAAGTAAAATGTGTTCTTGCTATTCTCATGAGCTCTTAAACCAGAAAATCTGCAGCCCTCTTTAATATCCCCACCTCTATCAGGCTGCAGGTCAGGTCCTTGGTGTTTCTAAGTGATTTTGGGAATTCTGGCAGTGGTTACTAAACAACCGACCCTTGCTGAGACCAGGCTGCACGTAGGGTTTATGTGGTAGTGATAAATACTTGGTGAGAACCAAGGGTACCTGCTGCTAAAGCCCCAGCTTTGGTAACTTTATTCGTGGTGATGCTGGTTTTGTCGGGTTTGACTACAAAGAGAAAAATTTTGATGGGGGATGGATGACCTGCCAGAACTGTTTGCCTCCAAAGCAGTTTAGCTAGACAACAAAGAAAATGAAATTATAAGGGTAAGTCAAAAAATATTCACATGAAATTATTACAAGATCCAGGGAACACAGTAACATCACTGGTGGCTTACTTTAGAGCTTTCTGCATTCCTACATGAGCTTCCAAAAACACAATCTGTAGAAACTATGCCACTACATTGATTTTAACTAGTGACTTTTCCAAAATGATGTGCAATTAGAGCTTACTGCAATACCACTTCAGGCTCTATTTTCATGCACAGTCGTTGCTATTAAGTGAGAGGTTTGGAGGTGGGTAGTTGGTTTCCGTGTTGAAAATTATTTTGGTGCCTGAGCTTGATGGGAACAAATACCCACTGTTGGCTCTAAGCATATCTGAGCAAAGATAGATGAGTGCTAGCCCTCCCCAGGCCCTTTGGTGTTTGCCTCCTTCTCTCCTGCAGTGTCCTGAGGAAGGGAAGGGAAAGGAAGGAGAGGGGCTGACCCCTCAAACTCCCAAACCTCCTGGCTGGTCAGTGCACACAGCGAACCGAGCAGCCAGCAGCAAGGAGGTTGCACGTTCTGGATGCTGGGCATCCACCGGGAAATGCACAGTTCGAAAGCACAAAGTGTTTTTACCTCCCCGAGTGATCCCAATGAGATCTCAGTTTTCACACTGTGCTTCCTGAACGGGACAAAATCCTTCAGTACTTTGCCTGGCTATCAGTATAATCTTGTTAACTAGGATAAAGCTGCAGGAACCGCTGCTTCACTGCATGAGTTGCCATCCCTGTGGCAGCAGGGACATCTGTGATACCAATGAGCAAACTAGAAGATCACTTCTTTACACTCCAGATACCTGAACGAGGCCCCCAACCCCGTAAACATTTAACCACAAGAATAACTTTACTCTGGAGAGTCATTCTGTAGATGCAGGGCTTTTCATCTGAATCAAGTTACCTATACACATGGCGTTGGTGGGACTAATCCTCTGGTAAGATCCAGTAAAAACTATAGCCAAGAACCTTTGGAAATAGTAGGTATCTGGGGAAGGTGAGAGCTAGCAAAGATGTGAGGTGACCTTACCGAGACAGAACGTATGGTATCACATGTGCGTTGCTACACCGATATTTTTCTACTTTGAGCTTTGATGGGGCTTCCTCAAGCAGATCGTCACTGGAAGATGCCATGGGGAACCTCTGAGAGAGAAATCAACCTGAGCACAGAAGACAGTCAGTCACCTAAACTCCAAAAGAAAGATTAACCTAAATACATCGCTACCGTGGTAGCTATGGGACAACAGATGCCTGGTTACAAAACCAGAACGCCAGTAACTCAAGTGACAGCAGCTTTCTTCTCCAGCCTTTTAGGGTGTGATTTGTGTACAGCCCTTGTGCCGTCCTTTAGATGTGTTGAGCATCTAGCACAGCCAGCTTGCACCAGAGAACCATGGGGAGCTACTGAGAGACGCCAAATATATTCATGGTATTGAGTGA